GAATCCAAACGGCACTTACTAAATACCCAAAATTCGAGCTCGATTTGATTCTCATTAGAATCGAACCGAAACCGATCATATCCTAACCTATCGAAAAAGGTGAGCTAAGAAGATGTCAAGGCAAAAGAAATAGAAAATAAAACTGATTTGGACATTAGTCACAATAAAAATGCTTGTACAGGGTTCAAGTGTTGTAAAAATTACAACACTCTCACATGTATGGGACTCACACAATTATTTTAATAGTAGGCTCCACTCTTTATGTATGAGAGGACTATACAAATTGCTATACAAGTTGTTGTACATGTAGCACTTTTGTATTAGTCATTACGTTAGTCCCATTACTACACGTGACATCTCAAACATACGACATTTGTTGTCTACCATCTAATCAAGTACTGGCTACAAAATTCAAAAATAACTCGTCTTCAATTATATCACAATTAGATGACGTAATTTATCTCGAAATGTAACACACGTCAACTTTTTGTCAATTTTTAACGCTCGTGTAGAACTGGAATGTTAAATATACTAATATAGTAGTAATGGCTAATATAAGGACTAATTTTGAAAATTAAAAATTGACATTTTTTTTTTTGAAAATACATCCTCGAACTTATTTTGTCCAATTCTTGAAAGTTGAAAAACAATAATCGCGTTTACTTTCACAGATCACTTCGATTTAACCTACTGAAAACTGGAGAAAAGCAAAGAAACAGTATGTTTTGGACTTCCAGTTTCTTGTTCAAATTGCTTGTAGTTTTACTTATTACTGCAAAATTTACATCAGCTGAAAGGGAGTATGATCAAGAATATGCAAAGAAGATTCTTAGCTCAGCCCAGAAAGAGAAAGATTGGTTGGTGTCAATAAGGAGAAAAATCCATGAAAATCCTGAACTGGGATTCCAAGAATTCAACACCAGTGCTCTAATTCGTGGCGACCTTGATAAACTAGGGATTTTTTATGAATACCCATTTGCTAAAACTGGCTTGGTAGCTCAAATTGGCACTGGTTCACACCCTGTGGTTGCTCTTCGTGCTGACATGGATGCTCTACCCTTGCAGGTATTTTTTCATTTGCACTTTTTTTTCAGTAATTATGGATTTTTTAATGTCTGTTTGAAAATTTCCGCACCTACACCGTGAATCTTTGCAAAATTCTTGGCGTAATTGTTTGATGTGCAGAGCAAGACGGGTAAATCAGATTTTAACATTCAACTTATAAAACAATCAAGTATTTTTTATTTTTGCGTTGGTTTTATGTTGTTTGTGTAATAGGAGATGGTAGAATGGGAGCATAAGAGTAAAGTGCAGGGAAAAATGCATGGATGTGGGCATGACGCCCACACAACAATGCTACTTGGTGCTGCTAAGTTACTCAATGAACGGAAGGACAAGCTTAAGGTGAGTCTGTTTAAAAGGAGATGACGATCGATGATATTGGGAATTGGTTCTCTTAGTGAAATTTAGTCAAAATGATTGGTGTTTGGTGCTTTCATGATTTTTTCTTAGAATTATTGTCTGTGTGGTTGAAGAGTAATTGTGAATCATTTCTAGATATGCTTTAGCATTTGTAGAGTTTTGCAAAATCGACTTTAGTTAGGACAGATTTTCGAATTCCAGTTCTCAGGCTCCTACACTATACTACCAAATTCAGCAAAAGAAATATAGAATAGGGTTTTTAGAGAAAGGATATGGAAAAATTTAAGTTTGTAACTTACCGTCAATAGAATATTTGATACTCATATTTGTGTACTTATCTTTTAATGCTCAACTTTTCTGATAATCGTAATTATAATATTAACCAAATTAGAGCTTTTTATGGGTTAATCAACAAGAGTTTCTCAGTAGAAGTCCTAGCGTGTTCCAACTTCATTTCTGTCAGATTTGATGAAGTTCCCAATCACATCGTCTCATCTTAATCTCAAAGGGCACTAGAAAAGTCTCAAGAACCTAAGAAGAAAAAGACATTGCAGCTGCCCCTGTATTCGCCCTTCTTCATACTAGTGCATTGTCAATCCAATGATTCTGCAATCAAAAAGAGAAGGGAGTGAGCTGTTTAAATGTACATTTTTGAATGATATGTTGGTTGAGGATCAACTTGACCATCTAATTAATTTAATATTGTAAATATTTACTGAGTTGAACTGCACAATCATATTCCAAGTCCTATATCAATCTCGTTCTTAAGTTGGGCAATGCAAGGGAAATTATTTCTGGCTACCAACTGAACACTTCAAAATTGCTTTAGTTGATGAGGCACTTAAAACACATTTCTTATTTTCTCCTTATAGTTCAAATGGTTCAGAGAAAGACTTCGTTAAAGCTGGTGCATGATTCGTCTTTTTATCTCTCTCTGCTGAAGCTATTATCATCCCAGACGTGAACTAAATTATTATTGCTTGTATACCTTAAGTTCAGTTAAAGTCTCATCCATTTCAGTTAAGATCAGGTTATCTGGTAGTTGTGATTCATGAAAATGTCTAGACAATACATAATAAGTGATTAGATAATTACTATTGCAGAAGTTCAGTAAAAGTCTCATCAATTACATATTAGATTGGTTGTTTGGTACTTGCAATAGGCCTAGACCTTACCTTAATGAATGATTTCCAGAATTTCTGTCATCTTATATTTGGAAAAGGGAAAATAATTGTGAGAGGAAGAAAATTGGGGTACTGTCTGATGAATTGGAAATGTGCTTTAATCTGGTTGTTAATGGGTATTTGAGATCCACATGGAAGCAGGGTAAGGAAAAATGGGGGAGGGGAAGGCGGTAGAATGGGATAGGTGACAAACAGTGAGAGGAGGAAGAAGAAGGTATATTGAGATTTTGGTGGTTAGCGGGAGGGGTGGGGGTGGGGTTAGGAGCTCTTTACATAATTTTGATTTTGAAATGTGAGGCTCTTTTTTATTCTCTCTCTCCAACTTG